AGTTAACCCCACCTTGAAGCCGTGGAGGAACCTAAGTGTCTCCTGAGTGAGGTAGTGCCTCCCACCTGCTCCTCAAGTCCATAATCCCTCCAATCCTCTCCCTCATCCCAAGGGCTGATAAAATTAAAAGACAAGTGGGGAAAAAGAATTTATATGCAGAGCAGCTTAACTTATGGCCCTCACTAAAGTAGAAAGCTTGAGGTTTATTTTTGAGAAATCATAGTCGTTCAGGAACTAAATCACTTGACTAAGTCACATAGCAGTTCAGCAATACAGACAGGATTCAAGACAGGCCTGTCTGACTCTAGAATTTACTTCTACTGTATTTTGAAATCTCTGTAAATAAACAAGTCCAGAAATGCATTGCATTTAACATATTTTGCTAAATTTATGAAAAACCTTTGGACTCATCTGTTTGTGTCTGCTGTCATCTTAATACTATGTTACAACCTATTGGTCTTTATGTAGAAAAAAAATCTACTGTATTTCCTTTTCATTGTTGCTGAAAACTTGAAGATACAGTCATGCATTTCATTTTTAATAACCTTAAAAGCTTTAAATTGCATAACTAAAAGCTCGTTTTACTTCTCAGAAGAACATAGTTTGCTTCAGTAGTTCCACATGGCTTGAAACTGATGCAGAGACTTAACAGATGCAGTCTAATGTAGAGAAATTGCTGAAAGCACAGTTAAATTGCCATACCAGAGGCAACAATTTCCTTAATTTTTGTCAAACACACAATTTGAAATGATTATGCGCTTACAAAAACAAACAGAAAAAAAAGTATTTTACAGTCTGTAGTTTCTATTCATATGTCTCAAGGTTAAAAGTTTAATTTAGTATTATAGAGAGTATTGCAATTTAATACTTCAAATTAGGATAACACTAATTTTCTCTTAATTGAATATGGATCAGATACCTAATCCATTTCTAGTCATATTTGGATGTCAGGTGGCGGCAATATGCGTTTACTTTATGAACCTTTAATTAGTTACTTTATCCAAAAGTGATTAATAGGAACCAGCACAGGTAAGTTGATGAAGACTGCGTTCTGATCTACAGTAAGAAGTGGTTTTCTCTCGCTTGGCATTTTTGTATTGATCAGAGGCAAGAACCATTAGAAGAAGAGATTTGGGTACAGAGGTTGGAAACAGTGGATCTTAAGAATCCTTTGAGGAGCACACATGAGCCAATGTTGATTGCCACCTTACGGCCTTGGGCTTCGTAAAGGTCATATTTATAAAAACACTGTTTCTCTTCAAATTCAGTTTTTACATGTAAAAAATCTTTGTGGGTTAAGAACATCTGAATGGGGCCTGGCGGCATGGCCTAGCGGCTAAAGTACTTGCCTTGAATGTGCCGGGATCCCATATGGGTGCCTGTTCTAATCCCCGGCAGCTCCACTTCCCATCTAGCTCCCTGCTTGTGGCCTGAGAATGCAGTCAAAGACAGCCCAAGGCTTTGGGACCCTGCATCCACATGGGAGACCCGGAAGAAGTTGTTCCTGGATCCTGGCTTTGGATAGGCATAGCATCAGCCGTTGTGCTCACTTGGGGAGTGAATATTCGGACGGAAGATCTTCCTCTCTGTGTCTCCTCTCTGTATATCTGACTTTATAATAAATAAATAAGTCTTAAAAAAAATCTGAATGCAATTTAGCTATCTAAGTTTTTAAAAGACTATTTAAGTATAAATGTTAAATTGGCAATAGCCTTTGTACTCCCAAATTGCGAATTGAAGAAACTGCAAATTAAGTCCTTTTAACATGACATTAAATATTAAGTTGCATAAATTATTAATCTTTTGGACAATTATTTATCTCTAGCTTTGAGGCATGCTAATGGTTTCTTCCTGAAGGATGTAAGGCTTAAAAGGATTCCTAAACTTAAGGGAACTCAGATGGTTTGGTTTCCCCACTTCATTGGTAAGATTCTGGGGCATTTGCCCCTTATACTAGAGAAACAGAAGGGATTTGTCACTTGATAGTGATGATGATCATGATGATAGTAGCTTACATTTATTCAACAGTAGTTATCTATCAGGCACTGTACTATGTAATTTAAATTTTTTTAATGTAAAAGCAGAATAAAAACATGAACTATACTGCATAAAACTTTGAGGTGGGTGTTGTGGTGCAGTAAGTGAAGCCACCACTTGGCATGCCTGCATCCCACATGGGAGTACCAGTTCACATCCTGTCACCTGCTCTTCTAATCTATCTTCGTGCTAATGAAATCCAGGAGGCAGCAGATGATAGCTGAAGTCTTTGGGTTCCTGCCACTCAAGTGCAAGACATAAATGGCATTCTGGGCTCCAGGCTTCAGCCTGGCATAGTCCCTTCTGTTGTGGGCATTGAGAAGTGAACCAGTGGATGGAATGTCTTCTGTCTCCCGTCTCCCTCTGTCCTGTCACTCTGCCTTTCAAATACATAAAAATGGCAGTTTTACGGCGGGGCGGGGCGGCACAGCGGATCCCAGCGCATGCCCCATGGACTCTGTGTCGGAGCCCAGCGAGCCCGGCAAGGGGAAGACCTTTAAACTCCTAGGAATTTTAGATGTCAAAAACACTCCCTGTGCACGGGACTCTATTGTACGGTTCACTGGGATCTGCTGTAAGTGGCCTGGGACACTTCTTGTTTACTAGTAGAATCAGACGATCCTGTGACGTTGGAGTAGGAGGATTCATCTTGGTGACTTTAGCCTGCTGGTTCCACTGTAGGTACAATTATGCAAAGCAAAGAATCCAGGAGAGAATTGCCAGAGAAGGAATTAAAAATAAGATTTATATGAAAGTACTCACCTTGATCCTGAAAGAAAACAAACCCAACAGAAAAGCAGCAATGGAGAAACCTTAAGCACAGAAAACCAAAACGCAGCTCCCTGAAGACCTGGTGTCAGCCACAAGAGACACCTTATGTGCAAGCAAGCTTTAAACAAGTAAATAAACTGGTGTAGTTGTAAAAAAAAATTTAAAATGGCAGTTTTAAAAATTTGTACAGCTTGGAGCATAGTTATGAAAACTTCAGTTATGGACATACTTTGAAAACCACAGCACTACCAATGTTAGTATTCATTGGTGGTCATATATATGAATTGTAAAGGACCACAAAATTTCCAAGGTTCAAAGACTATAGGATAGTAGTGACTTCGAGGATGGTGATGAAATGTTTAAAGAGAAGAGCTCAATCTTGATAACATTGCAATGGTAGAAAAAAAAAATCTGTATATAGGTAGGCAGTGAAGTCACTTAGAAGGTCAAATATGCTGGGAAAATCTGTATATATTTTTATAAAAATTCTAAGTAGTGAATGGAACACAAACACCCCCATCCTCCGGGGCAGAATTTCCTGACCTAAGATGTTACAGTCCTCCTTGAAATTGTATACAAAATGGAATTTGTATGCATGTTAGTTTTCACGGGCTCTCAACAGAGTAAACAGAAGTTCCTGGATCTAAGTGTTAAGGTATCATTTGGGTGAGATGACTAAAGAGGCACTCCTGAGAAAGATTATGAAAAAATACTAACAATGTTCGGCTAAGAATAATGCAGATCAGAAGCTAGGTTGGTTAGATTGATTCTTGAAGGGAAATACTATAGCAAAAGAAATGCAAAGATCTGGCCCGGACTGTGGTAGTCTCATGGGGTTAGCAGAGAAACAAGAGCTTGTTGGTGAAAGGGATGGAGGAAAACCAGATAAATAATCACTAGGAAGAAGTGTTTCCTTTTGAGACCAAGTAAATGTTCAATATAATTGGAAGGTTATTTTAGAAAGTAAGGACTGAGAAAAGGTAGCGATTTTAGTCTAGGGCAGTTGTCAATAACCTGAAAGCAATTTCCATTGGGTGTGAAACAGAAACCTTATCACAGGATCCAGAGAGCAGTTAAGGAAAAAATGTAACCTGAGTCAGCCCTTGGTAATACAACAGCACTAGTGATAATTACAGTTCAACTAATAGCAGCAAACACTTTGAAGACTTTCACATATTAAATCATTCATTAGCCAAATTTTGTTTTCTTTAATCTGCACATAACCTTATAAGGTAAATTCTGTTATCTCTATTTTGGGATCAGCAAATTGAGGATTCGAAGGCTATGATTCCAGTTACCAAGAGTGAAAACAAAATCAGAACTAGTCAGTCTGCTTCTGAGCCTTCATGCTGAACTGCTTACTGTTAAATATTTTAAAATATCTACGGGAGCAAACAGCCACCTAGTAGTTAAGACGCCAGGGTGGACCCAATGTCCCACTTCAGAGTACCTGTGTTCATTCTCTGCCTCCAGCTCCTGATGTCAGCCTCCTGGTAATGTGGACCCTGGGAGGCAGAAACAAAGACTCAGCTGTGCTGCTACCACCCCACCCACGTGGGAGACCTGGATTGAGTTTCTGGCTTTTGGCTGTGGAGGGGCCACCATTGTGGCATAGTGGGTTAGTCTGCCTCTTGTAATGTTACCATCCCTTGTTGGAGTGCCACATCAGATCCAGCTCCATGCTGATGTGCCAGGGAAGACAGAAAATCATGGCCCAAAACGTTGGCCCCAACCACTCACATGGAAGACCTGGATGGAGTATCCTATCCTGGGTTTGGCCTGGTCCAGCCCTGTCTGTTAGGGGCATCTGGAGAGTAAATCAATGGATGGAACACACTCTCTCTCTCTCTCTCTGTGTCTCTCATGCCACTCTTGTTCTTCTTGTCTGTCTCTCTCTCTTCCTCTATCTATCACCCTGAAATAAAGTAAAAATAAATTAATTGTTATAGCATATTTTTTAGTTTTGTGATTTTTGTGACAGTAGCCACTTGGTATTGTCTGGGACATTGTTTTATCTGGACTCCATTGAAATATGATTCTTCTCCAAAAGCGAGGAACTTGGAAAGCAGGATGTTATTTGAAACACTTATCCTTGTTCATTAAAAATAAATAAAAGCTTTTTGAAGAAAATAAATCCCAAAATACCAATAATGAGATTATTATATTGTGCTTTTCATTTCTCTCTTTCACAGATTATCTTGCTAATCATGGCCGATTAAATGAGTCTGAAGCCAGGCGAAAATTCTGGCAGATCCTGTCTGCTGTTGATTATTGTCATGGTCGAAAGATTGTGCACCGTGACCTCAAGGCCGAAAATCTCCTGCTGGACAACAACATGAACATCAAAATAGCAGGTAACTGGGACACGGCTGCCTCTCCCGTGATCTGATGGGTGTGGGAACACACCTACAGGTGCAGATTCAGGGCGTTTCTACCTGATGACATTGAGCTTTCTCAAAGTGTGTCTGTGAGGAACTGAAAAGGGAGGGAAATTCATCCTCAAGTGGCAGGGCTGTACCTGAAGGCTCATGGGCATCTCAGAGTTGAGAGGGCCCCGCCAGAAGAGATGTGTTTGTTGAAGTGGAAGTGTGGTGAGAGGAAGAGCAGCGTAGGCCTCTGGTGTCCCAACCTGCTCTCAGGGATGTAGCTGTTAGCTACAGTGAGGTCACAGAAGAAAGATGCACCTCGCCTTGCTCTGATAAACAATTTTGAGACCTTTTATCTAAAACATGGAGAGTAAAGTTAAAGATCATTTTTGCTTGTTTGCCTCTCAGCATTTACACAATTGTAGAAGATTTAAATTTTCTATCCTGAATTTTTTAACCACGCAGTCAGAAGTCAATCATGCAATAAACATTTATGTATGGGTACTACACCATTTTGGGTACACACTATTTTGATGTGTGGAAATTATTTCCCAGTGTATGTCAGAACAGCACTGTGCACCCTGAATTTATACAATTTCTATTTTTCAATTAGAGCTGAAAAAAATATAGTATGGTAGTTGCCATAAAGAAAGTGCACAAACTGTTGTGATGGTGTAGTTAAACAAACAGAAGATTTTGGATTTGATTCTAGAGAATAGGAAGTCTTAGCCTATTGAAATATTAGGTTATACATGGAGATAAAGTGGGATTTGAATAAGATGTTGGATTTTTGTGTTAGCAGTGTGCCTCGGCAGCAGAGTTAAAGTAAATGGGAAATGTTGATGACACTGAAGAAAGATTAATGAATAATCTAACATAACACTCTAATGAAGACATATAGATCTAAACTGGAGCAGCAGCAATAGAGGTTGAAAGTGTAGAAGGCAAGATTCATTTTGGTTACAGGTTTTTTAAATTATTTCATTTTGGGGGCTGGTGTGATAGTATTAGCATGCTCATTTTCTGCCTACAGTGCAAGCACCTCATATGGGTGCCAGTTTGAGTGCTGGCTGCTTCACTTCCATTGTGGTCATTTGGGGAGTAAAGTAGCAGATGGAAAGCCCCTCTGTCTCTTCTCTGTGATTCTTTAAAAGTCCCCCAGTGGCCAAATCCTAGAGCCAAGCCTTCAATCCAGGTCTCCCACATGAGTAGCAGGAACCCAGCTACTTGAGCCTTCACCTGTTAGCTCCAAGAGTGTACATCAGCAGGAAGCCAGAGGCAGCAGCTGGTGCCATATGTGAAACTCAGTTACTCCACTGTGAGACATGGCCGTGTCATGCCGTGTCTTAATTTGTAGGCTACTTACTGCCCACCCATGGCTAGAGACGTGGGTTCAAAGGCTAGCAAAGTTACAAGTAGTGATGTTTTGTTCTGTAGTCTGAGGGTAGCCAATGAACACACAGGTGAGAGGAGCAAACCAAGATATTATTGCATGACTACCTGCAAGGAATATTCACTAAATTCAAAAAGTTGGGGAGAAGCTGTTGATTTCCTGTACTGCAGTATCTGTTATCAGTTAACCTAATTTGTGCATTTAACTGATTTGTTTCTATGCCAGTTCCCATCTGTTTTCGTCTTAGTAAATAGTATTAACTCCTTTTATTTTAAATTTAGTATTAGTTATGTTATAGGACACCATGTGGCTTTTCCATTTTGTACTTTGTTATTTTTAAATAATAACATTGAATAAGTATTTTAAGTTAATTTGCTATGTGGACTTCTTTGTTGTAAAGTTGTGATTGTTTTTCCTGTTTTGTAAAATGCATGTTCATTTCTTCCATTTATGCTTTTGTCTCATTTCCTCTTTTTTTTTTTCAAAATGTTTTTATTTTACTTGAAAGTGAGAATTAACAGAAAAGGAGAGATCTTCTTTCTGCCTGTTAACTTTCCAAATGGCCGCATCAGCCAGAGCTGAGCCAGCCGAAGCTGGGAGCTAGATACTTCTTCTAGATCTCCATTTGGAGTGCAGTGGCCCAAGGCCTTAAGCTATCCTACCTGCTTTCCCAGGCCATTAGCAGGAAGCTGTTTATAATGTGGAACAGTGGGGACTAGGACAAGCACATGTGTGGGCTGTGGGCTATACGTAGGATTTGCTTGCTTGCTATGCCTCCATGCCAGTCCCTCATCTTCCTCTTTAGCTTTTTTATTTGCCTTTACTTGGTTCTCTCCTTTTTGCTTATTTTTTACAGTGCACTTATTTGGATTTTGGATTTTTTTTTTTTTGGTAGAAAAAGGTGGAAATCCAGTTCACCTTTCTATTCCTTTATTACCAAAACAAAAAAAATTACAGAAACAATACCTCAATGGTATTCTGGGATTCTTTAGGCAGAGAAAGGCTTACAAGTGTGACATATGAGCTAAGAAATAGAGTGCCATGTTACTTTAAAATGTTGTAAAGAAGATACCAAAGTAACTTTAAATGTAAAATTACAAAATGTTGCGCTAAGATTATAGCCAACCTTTGCCTGACAATGATAGTTCTACTGTAATTCTAGCCTACTGTAGAAATAAATTATCTCAAGTTTTCTAATGTCATTATGTGTTGTCTAGGGATTTGATTGGTTTGATATGGTTACTCTTTTTGTTCCTAATTTTTAATACCTAAACTTTGTGACCTTGTAATTACTTAGAAGGCAGAAACAAAATCATACAGCCAAAGTTGTCTTCTTTGGTTAAGCTGGTATAACAACCAGCATTGAATTGAGCCCTTACTGCTTTCAAGTGCTATGTAGGTACTTAAATCATTTCATCTTCACAATAGCCTTAGGATAAGCATTGCAGTTGCCAGGTTTCAAAAAGAATAAATAATTTGCTAAGGCGACACAGTGAGAGATCTCTAATTCAAATTTAGGCCATTCTAACCATGTCATTATTTCTTCTTGTCTACCATATTGAAGTTTCCAAACATTTGCCAATCATTCCTCAAGAGGTACTCACCAACTACACATTGGATTCCCTCCTGTTTGTGCATTCAGTGTCTCTGCTGCTACTCCTCACAGGTTGAGATTATATATAAGCACTCAAATATATTTTACCAACATTTTTCTCTCTGCATCTTGAATAACCTCAAACCCCAAATATTTGTTAAATATCTAATATGCCCCTCTGATAAGCCCTGGTCATTTATATACTTCAACACAGAAACAATAGCAATGGGAAAAAAAAAAAAACCTTTTACCCCAGGGAGTTAATCAGGTAAATTACAAAATCTGTAAGTGCAACATAAAATGACCATTGTTTTCAAGGCTGTGGAGTTAAAACAAAGACTGACTCTTTGATCCTTGATTGGAAGACTCAGGGAAATTCTTACCTAAGATTGGATTCGCGGATTATTTGTGGTGGGACTGAGGTCAAGGAGATGGAGAGAAAGAGAAGGAAAGGTAGCAGTAGGGGATGGAGTTGCTATTGCAAGTAGATGGTTCTGTACGTACAAAGTCGGACCAGCAAAAACTCGAGAGTGTTTAGAAAAATAACAGGCCTGTATCAGAGAAGAATGATAGGAAAAGAGCCTACGAGCTAGCATCATGATGCTGTATGTTAAGCCTCCACCATCATCATCGCTTATGGCACAGGTTTAGGTCTCAGCTCCTCCACTTTCAGTCCAGCTCCGTGCTTTATGGGCTGGGAAAGCAGTGGAAGACAGCTCAAGTCCTTAGGCTCCTACACCTGTGTGGGAAGCCTGGAAGAAGCTCCTGGCTTCAAATCAGTTCAGCTCTGGCTGTTGTGGTATTTGGGGTGTGAACAAGCAGTTGAAAGATCTCTCTCTCTGGCATGGTGGCCTAGCAGCTAAAGCCCTAGCCTTGATTGTGCCACGATCCCATGTGAGCACTGGTTCTAATCCCAGCAGCCCCGCTTCCCATCCTGCCTCCCTGCTTGTGGCCTGGGAAAGCAGTTGAGGGCGGCCCAAAGCCTTCCAGTGTAGGAGACCCAGAGGAAGTTCCTGGCTTCTGGTTTTGGATTGACACAGCACTGGCAGTTGTGGTCACTTGGAGAGTGAACCTTCAGAGTGAAGATCTTCCTCTCTGTCTCTCCTCCTCTCTGTATATTTGACTTTGCAATAAAGATAAATAAGTCTTTAGAAAAAAAAAAAGATCCATTTCTCTCTCTCTCTCTGTCTCTCTCTGTTACTCTGCCTTTCATATAAAAGTAACTTCATAAATCAGTAAGAAAAAAAAAGAGCCAAGGCAGGTAGGCAGGGCTTAGCTCATGGAGGATTCCAAATGCCACAAAATGTTTAGATGCATTCCAGTATCTTTAAGGAATTCATCTAGGATATTTATTTATTCATTTTTTTTGAAGATTTGTTTTATTTTTATTGGAAAATCAGATATACAAAGAGGAGATATATAGAGAAAGATCTTCCATCTGGTGGTTCACTCCTTAAGTGACCGGGCTTTGGCCCATCCTTGATTGCCCTCCTCGGCCACCAGCACGGAACTGGAATAGAAGTGAAGCAGCTAAGACATGAAGCAGCACCCACATGGGATCCCAGGGCGTGCAACGCAAGGACATTAGCCACTAGGCTACCGTGCCAGACCCTAGGGTATTTATTTTAATCTGCAGATTTTTGTAAGTTTTTGACAGTCGTACTTATCTGTAAACAGATTATTTCCTGACCTCTTGATAATTGTTGAATTCTAAAAGCATCTAATACAGGAAAAGAAATTGGAAGAATCCATAATAAAATGCTAAATTATTCATTCAAATTATGTTTTCCTGCTTCCTTATAAAAATCTTTTTCATTTTAACTGATACATAAAAACTGCACATACTTAACGAAGTGCCATGAAATGTTTTCACATGTAAAAAAAATTGTGTTTAAATTAGGGTAAGCATTTCTCAAACATTTTTATTTTTCATGTTGAAAGCATCTAAAATCTTTTATTCTAACATTTTAAACTATGCATATACAATGCAATATCATCTGT